CATCATCATCATCATCATCATCATCAGCATGAGCATCAGCATCAGCATCAGCACCATCATCATCATCATCATCATCATCATCCTCATCATCACCATCATCATCATCATCATCATCATCATCATCATCATCATCAGCATCATCATCATCATCAGCATCATCATCATTAGCAGCATCCGCATCATCATCATCAGCAGCAGCATCATCATCAGAAGCATCATCAGCATCAGCATCAGCATCAGCATCAGCATCAGCATCAGCATACTCAACATCAACATCATCATCATCATCAGCAGCAGCATCATCATCATCATCAGCATCGTCAGCATCACCATCATCATCATCATCATCATCATCATCATCATCATCATCATCAGCATCGTCATCATCATCAGCATCATCATCGTCATCATCATCAGCAGCATCAGCATCATCATCATCATCATCATCATCATCAGCATCATCAGCAGCATAAACATCATCATCATCAACATCAGCATCAGCATCATCATCATCATCATCAGCATCATCATCAGCATCATCATAGTCATCATCGTCATTGTCATCAGCAGCATCAGCAGCATCAGCAGCATCATCATCATCATCAGCAGCAGCATCGTCATCATCATCATCATCATCATCAGCATCATCATCATCGTCGTCGTCATCAGCAGCAGCATCATCATCAGCATCAGCATCAGCATCCTCATCCTCATCCGCATTCGCATCCTCATCCTTATCCTCATCATCATCCCCATCATCATCCTCAGTATCATCAGCATCATCATCATCGGCATCGACATCGTCATCATCAGCATCAGCATCAGCATCAGCATCAGCATCCTCGTCATCATCATCATCATCATCATCATCATCATCATCATCAGCATCGTCATCGTCATCGTCATCGTCATCATCAGCATCATCATCAACAGCATCAGCATCAGCAGCAGCATCATCAGCATCAGCATCATTATCATCAGCATCATCATCAGCATCATCAGCATCATCATCATCATCGGCATCGGCATCGTCATCATCATCAGCATCAGCAGCATCATCATCACCACCACCATCATCATCACCACCAGCACCACCACCACCATCATCATCATCATCATCATCATCATCATCATCATCATCATCAGCATCAGCATCAGCATCATCATCATCATCATCATCATCATCATCATCATCATCATCATTATCTTCGTCCTCCTCCTCCTCCTTTTCATCATCATCATCATCATCAGCAGCATCATCATCATCATCATCCTCTTCCTAGTCATCGTCCTCCTCCTCCTCGTCCTCCTCCTCCTCCTCCTCTTCCTCCTCCTCCTGAGCCTCAATCTCCCGATACTCATCCTCCTCGTCATCTCCCCCAACGCACACACACAAGCAGGGCGGCCTCGGCGTAGAAATCAGCCCCCCTGCGGACGAGCCGCTCGACGCACCTGCCCTCCGCGAGCCGCCCCGCCCCCACCCCCCTGGCGACGCAGTTGCACGGGTCCGCGACCATCCAAGCCGTCTTCCGGGGGATCGGGCCCTCGGCACGGCGGAGGGCTTCCTGCTCCTCCTCCTCCTCCTCCTCCTCCTCCTCCTCCTCCTCCTCCTCCTGCCTCGCGCCTCTGCGCCGCTCCCTGCCGAAGGCTCTGCACGTCCCTCCGTGCAACAGCCGACACGCTCGGCCACCTCGGCCCCATCCGCTCCGCTCCTCGCGTGCCGACACTGATGGGCCCATTGTCCACCACCACCACCATAAGTTGGAGGGGGGAAGGAGGAGGAGCAGGACGAGGAGAAGGAGGAGGAGGAGAAGGAGGAGAAGGAGGTGGAGGAGGAGGAGGAGGAGCAGGACGAGGAGGAGGAGGAGGAGGTGGAGGAGGAGGAGGAGGAGGAGCAGGAAGAGCAGGAGGACCCCCTCCCCCTCAAACGTATGGTGGTGGTGGAAAACAGGCCCATCATACACACCGCGACCTTCGTGCCCCCCCCCCCCCCAACCCTGGACAACGGGTACGCGGGCCCTGCTGTACAGCAGGGCCCGCGTCCCCCCCTACGGGTATTGAGGGTGTGCTGTTCGGTCGTCCTGCTGTGGCGACTGCAGAAGCCCAGGCGATGAGGAGACGGACAAGAGCATCGAGAGAGCGTCACGAGCTGCGACGGGCAATGACAGACAGAACAGGGCCGCCCGAACAAGACACACAGTTCAAGGCGTGACTGACGGGAAAACAGAAAGAGGCGGCCACGGAGAGGATGGGAGGATGGTAGCAGACAGACGATCAAAGACAGCCGACGGACACACAGACGAGACACACGGACGAACAAGATCTAGACAGACAGAGGCACACCGAGACGGACTGATGCAATCTGGACAGAGAGCCCTGGTGACGCGCAGAGATAGACACTGATCAACGAAGTTTGAGGGAGACACGGGTGCTACTGAACCCAAATTGGGCCCGAGCAACGCTGAAAGTATCACCGCCCCGCAACGATCGAATTCTCCAGCAATATGCATGCCAACCAACCACATTACTGCGTCTGGGGCAGACTAACGACAGGTCATTGTCATGCACTGTATATAGCGCGTCGAAGGCTTGCGGTGAGTGCTGCACTCGAGAGGCACTCAAATCCCGATCCAAGCTCAAACTCTCTTCTGCTGATTACTGCTGGATTGCGTAGCGCTGTTCTTGGGGGAGGCAGGATCTATTGGCTGTGTTGTACACCTTCTCGCAGTGGAGCATCAGCTGGCAATCGAAAGAAGCTCACCGGTGAACTGGGAGGGGGAGGAGGAGGAGGAGGAGGAGGAGGAGAAGGAGGAGGAGGAGGAGGAGGAGGAGAAGGAGAAGGAGGAGGAAGAGGAGGAGTTGGAGGAGGAGGAGGGGAGGAGGAGCATGAGGAGGAGGAGGAGGAGGAAGAGTTGGAGGAGGAGGAGGAGGAGGAGGAGGTGGAGGAGGAGGAGGACAGCATCCAATCTTTGCTCGACCTGGCGAAGGCAGGAGCCAGGTAAAGGGAGGTGGGCGGCACTCTGGCGTGGAGCGGCAAAGAGAGGGAACAGATCTTTCCCAACCATTATGTGGTGTTGGGTCCTCATTTTGAGGAGACAGTGCCCCGCGTCTCCTCTCCTCCTCTCCTCCTTCTTCTCATCTCATCCCTTGCCTCTCCTCCTTCTCCTTCAACTCTAGGGGAACGAACACTGACAAAAAACATCAAAATTCGGAGGTCCGCGCGGATTTCTCGGATCGGCGCTGGCGCCCCCTGGCGGCGCCTCCGACGCCGCCCCTTGCGCGCTCTGCGCGCCAGGGAGGGGGGGCAAGCGCCGATCCAAGAGATCCGCGCGGACCTCCGAGTTATTATGTTTATGTCATTGTGCGTTCCCCTACTCCTCCTCTCCTCATTCTCCTCATACTCCAATCCCGTGCCTCTGCTCTCCATATGCTTGGGTCCTTCGTCAGGATCATCTTTGTCCGCGCACGGTTGGGATATGAACACTCCATGGGCGCACGCGGGGACCATGTTCCGAGCGCACTCTAGCTGCAGGGCTAAACGGCGCTCGAAAAGGTGCCGATGATATCAGGCAAAGCAATGGAAAATATGAGGCACACCGAAGAGTAACAAAATCGCGGGCCGAACAGAGCTCGATCACAGACAGTGGCACATCCATACAAGGCAATGCGCACCAATGCCAAGCAGCGAAGGAACTGTTCAGAATGGAGTGCCGACACTGGCACTGCGATACAACGCAGTGATGGAAACACCATGATACAACGCAGCGCCATGCAGCGAGAAGCAAATCAAATGAAAGGCAGGGCAATGCGATGCAATACAACAATATGCGAAGGAGAACAATAATCGCCAACGCAATGCCGTTTGCGGAACTATGCCTTTGCACATCCGTCGGATAACAACGAAGCCAAACACAATGCAAAACAATGAACAATAACGCAAGAGGCCGTACGAGCCCGAGGGATCCGGAACCTCATGGATCCCAGGAATAAGGTGTGCACAAAAAAGGCGGATGCCTCGATTGCACCGTTGGTAAACATCCATACGACGCTAGCGCACCAGCTCGTCCTTCTTCTCGCCCCCTCCTCCTCCTCCTCCTCCTCCTCCTCCTCCTCCTCCTCCTCCTCCTCCTCCTCCTCCTCCTCCTCCCCCTCAGAATCCATCCTCTGGACGGTCGACTGGCCTCGGCCAGGCGACCTTTTAGATTGCCACACAGACTTCTTACGGGGCATAAGAAAAATAAATGAATTTCCCCCCCAGGCTTCCGGGCAATGACTGCCACATGTAGCCCCTGGTGCATCGGCCACGCGGCCACTACAAGCCATATGTTTTCTAAGTTGGCCACGAGAAGAAGGGCGAGAAGCAGCGTAGTGGGACTGCGAAAGAGACTTAAAGTTGTTAATCCCACTGTTGTTTATTGCAAGCACCCCGGAATGCCCCAGGAAGGCGCGCAAGGCAGCCACGAGGAGGACCCAGGGCAGCCTCATGGGGGGATGCCCGAGAAACACTGAAATGCGAATGCGAATGCGAACCGCCATCGCCCGGAGGCGGCCCATGGCTGGGCGACGGGCGCGCTGCGAGGCGCGCTGGCCCTCTGAGAGGACCGGGAAAAGGCCATGACCGATTCACGAGACAGTGCACATGCATGCAGGGGGAGGGGCAGGGGAGGCAAGAAGGAAACAGCAAGCAAAGATGCTTGCTGAGAGTCTCTTTGGATGCTTTTTAGGGGCGCTCTTGAAGGCTACTTGAGAAGTTGCTCGTTCTCTTGGAAGGCATCTCGGACCGCCGCCCTGGAGGCGGAGGAGGAGGAGGAGGAGGAGGAGGAGGAAGAGGAGGAGGAGGAGGAGGAGGAGGGAGGAGGAGGAGGAGTGGTCCCTTGTCATAGTTGGAGCCTCCATGCGGGCCCCTTGATAATTCTCGGGGGGGGGGGGCCTGGGGCGCTCCTGAGGGCCTCTTGGAAGCCTGTTGGGGCCCCGCGGGGGGCCTCGGGGGCCGGCCTTCGGAGGGCGGGCTCGCAGAGCGAGTGCGGGCTCCGCCTCCTGCGCCCCTCTCGAGGCTCTCCTGGAAAGCCCTTGGGCTGCATCACGGCAGGTTCGTGTCGTGCCGACCCCAGCGTTGGTTTTTGACACCGCAGGGATCGTTCAACCTTGAACGATCGGCCGCTGCCGCAACGTCCGATCGTTCAACATCGATCGATTCTGGGTCGCCGGCGGCGTTCAACCTTGAACGCCCGCGCTGGGGTCGCCGCTGGTCGACACGACACTAACCTACCGTAGGGGCTTTCTGGGCCGTCTCGAGGTCCTGTCGGGGGCCTCTTGGGCCGTCGTAAGAGAGGTTTTGGGGGGGCTCGTGGGCTGTCTTAGAGAATCGGCATCGCGGAAGAGCAAGAAAACGAAAATCGTTGAGAAATCGATTGGGAATCAATAGTTGTTGCCTCTTGGTGCCTTCGGCCCATGCCACCACCGTTCCTGGGTTGTGGGTTTGGCCTCTTGGAAATTAGTTGGGACATCCTGCAAGGCCTCTCGGGTGCCCTTTGGAAGCAGTGTTGAAGCCTCTGGGGGGGCGTTTTGGAGCCTCTCGGGGCCTCTCTTGGGCCTCCTGGGGGCTTCTTTGGGCCTCTTGGAGCCCAATTGGGGCCTCCTGGGGCGGAGGGCACGAATTGTCGGTTCGCGTTCCCCCTCTTGGGCATCTGTTGAGGCTGTCCTGACGCCCACTTGGACCGTTTCGGCGCCTCTTGTGACGTTTGGGGGCCCCTTGGGCCGCCTTGGGGGCCTCTTGGGGGCCTCTCGGGCCCACTTGGGGCGAGGTTGGGGGTTTCTTGGGCAGTCTTGGAGCGTCGAAAACCCGAAAACGCGAGACGCTAAAAGCAGTGAAAAACAAACTGAACATCAATGATGTTGGCCTCTTGGGGCCCTCTTGGAGGTCCTCTCGGAGCGCTCTTGGGGCCTCTTCTTGGGGGCCTCTTGGGCCATCATGGGGCCATCTTGAGCGGTTTGGTGCGCTCTTGGGCCGTCCTGGCGGCCTCTGGGCGTCCGCTGCGGGCGCCGAGGAGGACCCTCGAGGCGCATGGAACGCCCTGGAGCGTTCAAAAAGGCCCGCCGGTGCCGGGGACTAAAGTTGGTTGCTGGGGGGGGGTCTTTTTGAGAAAGTGGGGGCCCGAGGGCGTGGGGACCTGGTCGCCCGTTATGTGTATAAATACATATATGATACAATATAAGATCAAGAAATACATAGAATACAATGGAACATGGTACCACTACTTATGATATAATACATTACAATGTTCTACTATAGAGTGCACTATATTAAAATATCATGTCATGTGATATGGTATGATATATTACATGTTAAGTAAGTATAGTATAATGCAATATCAAATAATGTATTCGACCTACCATATTACAGTATGACATACTATGATACAATATCATGGAGTACGCTATCATATAATACAATCGAATCGGCTACAATATAATCAAAAAATATACTGTACTGTAATACAGCGTAATACAATATTATGAGAATAATTTTATACAATAGACTATGATATAAAACTTGCATGTTTTGATAAGTGAAGAATATACGATGACATGTAATGTAATAACGCAAGACATAACACACCATAACAAAAGATACGATAGCGTAATAGAACACCCTATGCGATACTATGATTTACTACACTATAATACACCTTGCTACAATAGAATGTAACACACGATCCTATGTCACAACAAAGTATACAATAGGTTGATACAATACAAGAACGTATAATAGACCATAACACAACACAACACAATATGCTGGTACGCTATAACACGCCAGAATATTCGAATCAACAAAGAGACAATATAATACAATGACACGTTGTCAACTATACTGCACTAAACTATAATATGGTGTCAAGTACTAACATATTAAATGTATGCATATGAGATGTTGCAATAATGTACAGTATCACTATACTACAATATAGTATGACAATGCTGTACTATAGCACCATACACTAAAATACAGACGTACATACATGTATACATACGTACGTACAATCATACATACATACATACATACATACATACATACATACATCCATACATACATACATACATACATACATACATACATGGATGCATATACTACCTCCAGCCTGTACTGGTGGCCGCGAGTACCCTGCAACTTCCCCGCAAAAAAATCATGGGGGCAAACCAGCAGAGCCTCAGTGCGTCATGGTGAGGCAGACCTTGCCGATGCTTTTGCCAGACATCTGAAGCTTGGTGGCATCATTGATATGCTCCATGCCCCCGTACTTCTTCGTGACAGTCGTCTTGATGCTGCCCTGGTCCACGAGCTTTGCCATGGTTGCCATCACGCCACCTACCATCGCGGGCTCAGTGTTGAACATGGGCCGCGCGAACATCATCTGGAAGCATAGCGTCTGCCTCTTCAGCCACACGGTGGTCCAGTCAACCTTCGCCATCTGCTCTTGCGTAGGGCCGTAGGTGACCACAAGCCTCCCGTCGCACACCAGCAGCTTGAAGAGCTCCCCGAGGCGATCGTTCTCGTGGGCGTTATAGATATAGTCCACGCAGTCGAAGCCGACCTGCTTGAGCTCAGCGCCGAGGTCCTCGTTGCGGTGGTTGACCACGTGGTCCGCGCCCATCTGCTTGCAAAACTCGATGGTCTCCGCGCGCGATGCGGAGGCAATCACTGTGAGCCCGAGGTGCTTAGCGACCTGGATGACGATCGACCCGAGCCCGCCAGCGCCATTCAAGACGAAGATCGACTTGCCCTTCTGGACGCCCATCAGCTCCACCATGCCCTCCCACGCTGTCTGGAAGGTCAGCGGCAAGGCAGCAGCGTCCTCGAAGGAGAGCGTACTGGGCATCTTGCTGATGAGCCGTGAATCGATCTTGGTGCACTGCGAGTAGCATCCGTCCTTGGTGATGTCACCTGCGAACCAGACCTTTTTCCGGCCTGGAAGTCTGTTACTCCCTCCCCGACAGCCTCGACCACCCCCGCACTGTCCCAGCCCACGATGAGGCGCTGGGGGGGCGCCTCTTCGCCTGGTGCCAGGGCGCCGGCGATCACCTTGTAATCGATGGGGTTGGTTGCGACGGCCATGTTCTTGACCAGGACCTCCCCGGCCCCTGGCTGCGGCTTCTCCACGTCCATCGCTGTCAAGAGCGCCGAAGCATCGCCGTACTTCGTGACCGCCCACGCCTTCATCATGCTCGTCGCTTGCGCAGAGATCGATGAGGTCTATTCACAAGGAGAGGGTCGAGCGATGTTGGCTGGCAGGGTGGCCTGCTCGACTGTTGAGCCCGAGGGAACAGAGGAGATAGAGAAGGAGCACGGTCAAAACTGGTAGTAAGGATGCGCAGTAAGGGTGCAAGCCCCTTGCACGCCCATATCGAGGCTCTTCGACCAGGGCTGGCCATCGAAACTCCCAGAAATCTTTCGGTTCACCCTGGTTGCTCGCTTTGTTTTCCTAGATGTGTCTCTTCGTCCCTTTTCCCGTCAACTCTCATGAGCAGGGCTTCTGAATTGGCTGGTGAGGATACATTGTTTGTCGCAACCGCAGGCGAGCGCGCCAGCGGCGAGGGAGGTCAGAGCGGGCCGCGCAAGAGCCGAATTGCCTAACGCCGACGGGTTGGCGACCTCAGCAGCGCCGCGGCGGGCGGGCCGGCGAGAGGGGGGGGTGCAGGCTGCGGCTGCCAGGGACCAGGTCCAGGAGCACGCACATGCAGGAATTACCAGCCAGGGTTGGGGCGCAGCCAAAATGGCGCGGGGGTCGTACCAGGATGTGGCCAGGGAGGCAACCAGGCAATACACTGCGTCAGCTGCCATGGGTAGGACGCACTGGCCCAAAACTGGTGCGTAGGGTGGCGCCACCAAAGTCGCACACCAAGACTCCCGAAGGGAGTATGAACCTGCAAACGGCCGTCCACGGGGTGGTCCCGGTAGGACGAGCGGAGTAGCCAGGACAACGATGGATGTAATCAACACCGTAAACGCCTAAACCACCGATCAGGTAAAGCCACGCGCACTCTCGAGCAGGGCACCGACGACTGAGAGATGACCAACACCAGGGCGATCCACGTCTCAGGTACCGGGGCGAGTAACAGGAGGGTGTCGTGGGCATCGCCGCCAGGGACCGTGGACGGGTCAACACGGTCCGTCCGCCGACCAGGTGAGCACAGGCTGAACCACGTGCACTCAGGAGCCCCAGGCGCCCCACGATGGGGTTGAGCCGCTGGAGCTGGGGAGACCAGGGGCCGATTGGCGAAGCCGCTGCGACGCTCAGCCGCCTGGGCGGGGGAGACCAGGGAAGAAAGGGGCAGGGTGGTCCAGCCGCGGGGAGCGGATCGCTCCAGCGGGGCGGTTGCCTGTGGGCGCGGGGAATGGAGTGCGCCGACTGCGGTGAGAACAGCTACAGAAAGGCCAGGGGCCTACTAGGACAGGTGGGCCACGGCCCCAGCGGCAGTCCACTTGCCGGCATTGTCAGCAGACCGCCGCCAGGATCCCAAGGGCGGGGGACAACGGGTGCTGGGCGATTACAAAGGGGACACGACCAGGTGCGGGAGCGCATGACGCCTCGCCCATCGCCGTAGTGAAAGAACCCCGCGAGTCTTCCAGCTGCAGGGCCCGCCCTCCGGGCAGGGAGGGCGCGACGCCCCCATGCCGAGTGGCCCACTGTGGCCCACTGTTGGTCGGCATACCAGGGTACCAGGAAGCAGCTGAAGGCTGCGCTTCTGCAAGTACACACAGCCACCATAGCGCCCATGCGCGCCGGGCTGCGTTCAGGGCGAAGCAAGGGCGGGCAAGCCCGCAGCGCTGGGCAGAAAATGCTACCAGGCAGTGGCTGAAGGCCCTGGTTTGCCGAGTACAGAGCGAACCCCACCCTGCGTGGGAACGCGCGTCGCCTCGCCCGCCCCTGTCGCGAACGACCCCCGCGAGCCCCCTCTCTGCCGCCGGGCCCGTCCTTCGAGCAGGGAAGGCACGACGCCCCCATTCCGACTGGCCCACTGTGACCCGCTGCTGGTCGGCATACCCGGATACCAGGAAGCAGCTGCAGGCGGCACTCTCTGCAAAGTAGTCACAGCGACCTTCGCGCCCATGCGCGGCAGGCTGCGGCTAGCGCGAAGCAAAGGCGGGCGAGCCGGGCGAGCCCGCAGTGACTCCTCCAGCGGTGGGCGTTCCAGCGCTGGGAGCGCTGCCAGGCCAGCGGGAACGGTCACACTGTCTGCGACCTCCTGACTCAGTTGTGCGCGGCGGCATCGCCCTTTGCAGCACTCCGAGCTGCCGCCGCGAGACTGTTGGCGGGCGCGGGCGCCATTCCGGGCGCATCTTCGGCTTCCACCAACCAAGACTCTGCCCCCGGGACGCCGATAGGAGCGAGGTGCTGACGGAGAGCCTGCTTGCCCTCAGCAACGCTCGCAACTGCCGCCGCGATACGGTTGCCAGGACGGGGCGCCATTTCGGCCACACCTTCCGCCTCCACACCGACGCAGCCCGAGGGGCGCTGATAAGAGTGAGGGGCTGTAGGGACGCCAGCTCGCCTGCCACCAGGAGGGGAAGGGGCCGACACGCCGCTGCGAACAACCGCCTCTCCAGGCTGGAGCCCCCCCAAAAAACTGCCGCAGCTGAAGGCCGCATTTCCGGAAAGAATTCCTGAGTGTCTGAATTGGGGGGACATCTCCGAGCGCGGGCGCGCCCCCTGCAGCGCCGCCAACTGTCGCCGCGCTGCTGCTAACAGGAGGGGGCGCGTTCCTTTTGCAGCTGGAAGCCGCCCTTTCGGATGCAACGCCCTGACGGTCAGAATTGTGAGAAACTTCTCCGAGCGCGGGCGCGCCCACTGCAGCGCTGCCGACCGCCGCCACGATGCTGTCTCCAGGTGGGAGCACGTTCCTTTTGCAGCAGAAGGCCGCACCTTCGGGCACATCTCCCTGCCGGTCAGAATTGCGAGGAACGCCACCGAGCGCGGGCGCGCCCTCTGCTGCACAGCCAGCTGCAGCTACGACGCTGTCTCCAGGAGGAGGGGGCGCGACCCTTTGAAGCTGAAGGCCGCAGTTGCGGAAACATCTTCCTGACGGTCAGCTTTGTGAGGAACGTCTCCGAGCGCGGGCGCGCCCTCAGCAGCGCTGCCAACGACCGCCGCGATGATGTCTCCAGGAGGGAGCGCGATCCTTCGCAGCTAAAGCCGCACTTTCGGGGGCGTTTTCCTGACAGTCAAAAATGTGAGGAACGTCTACGAGCACGGGCACGCCCTCTGCAGCGCTGCCAAGTATCGCCACGGTGCTGTCTCCAGGAGGGAACGCGTTCCTTTTGCAGCTGAAGGCCGCACTTTCTGACTGACACTAGGGGGAATCTTCCTGACTGTCACCAGGGGACTGATGCTGCTGCAGTTACTGCTGACACCGGGGGCTGTCACCAGGGGACTGCCGCTGCTGCTGCTGCTGCTGCTGCTGCTGCTGCAGCTGCTGCTGCAGCTGTTGCTGCTGACTGACACCATGGGACATTTTCCTGCTGTCAACGGGGGACTGACCCTGACCGATTGGTGCGATCGACGCCGTAACACGCCTGAACCACCGGATCAGGGTAAGCCGAACTCACTCTCGAACAGGGTCGACGCCGTCTGAGAACTGACCAGGACCAGGGCAATCCACGTCTCAGGCACGGAGTCGAGTGAACACGAAAGTGCCGTGGGCACCGCCGCCAGGAACCGCGGCCGCAGTCGACACAGTCTTCCGACAGCCAGGAGGGCACAGGCTGAACCACGTGCACTCACGAGCTCGACGCGCCAACGAGGGGGTTGGGCCTGTGGAACTGGGGGGTCCATGAGGCCAGGGCCAACTGGGCCGCTGCGAGCCCGGCTGCCTGAAGGGGGGGGGGCTGGGAACTGACCAGGACCAGGGCAATCCACGTCTCAGTCACGGAGCCAAGTGAGCACGAAAGTGCCATGGGCACCACAGCCAAGGACCGTGGACGTAGTCGACACAGTCGTCCGACAGCCAGGGGAGCACAGGCTGGACCACGTGCACCCCGCGCTCCATGCGCCAACGAGGAGGTTGGGCCAGTGGAGCAGGGAGGTCCAGGAGGCCAGGGCCAACAGGCCCGTTGCGAGCCCGGCGGCCTGGCGGTGAAAACAGCTACAGCGAGGCCAGGGGCCAACTAGGACAGGTGGACCACGGCCCCGGCGGAAGTCCACGTGTCGGCATTGTCAGCAGGCAGCTGCCAGGGTCCCACGGGCGGGGGGCAGCGGGTGATGAACGAGAAGGCGGCAGAGCAGGAAGAGAAGAGGGAGGCAGAAACGCCAGGAAGTGGCTGAAGGCCACTGGTCTGCCGAGTACAAAGGGACCACCGCTATGACCGGGAGCGTTTGTCGCCCCTCCCGGCACCGTAGTGGCCGTCGCCCCGCTTGCCGCCTGCCAGCTGCGAGGCCCGTCATCCGCGCAGGGGAGGCGGACGCCCACCTTCTGAGTGGCCCACTGATGTTCGGCATACCAGGAAACCAGGAAGCAGCTGAAGTCTGCACTTTCTGCAAAGAAACCACAGCGACCATGGCGCACGCGTGCGGCGGGCTGCGACTAGGGAGCAACGAGGGCGGGCGCGCCCGCAGAGCTAGGGCTGACGACCTTCCACTGCTTCTTGCCCTTCCTGGGAGCGCGGCTGCCAGCGTGGCCTTTCGCCACCTGGCGTCCATTGCCCGCGCCGCCACTGCGACTCAGGTATCGCTGCCGCACGTGAGCACATTCGACGCTGGCGGGGATATTTTTTAGTCAGCGGCCGCGGGCGAGCGCGCCGGCGGCGAGTCCAGTCAAAGCGGGGCACGCAGCGACGAATTAACCTAAAGCGACGGAGGGTGGCCACACCTACAGCGGCGAACTGGGACCTCACGCAGCAGCTCAGCGGCGGACCGGCGAGTGGGGGGGCAGCTGAAACCGAGTCGTACTGCCAGCGTGCAAGCATGCAAAGCGTCGGGAACACCAGGGACTCGGGACACACGACGACCCGGGCCAGACGCCGAAATTAATGCAAGGACGCAACCCCGGACAACCGTGTGAGTACCAGGGTGGCCCGAAGGACCGTTGGTCAAAGAATTAAAGCCGAGACGAGGCGAGAGCGTTGGCAGGCTGCGAAACCCAGGGTGGCCGTAGCCGCATAGTCCTGAGGCAGCAGAACGCACGAGTGCGGGAAGCAGCAAAGCTGCCACGCAGCCAAAATGGCGCGGGTCACCACGGACCAGTGCGTGAAGTGGCGCCAGGTTGACCCACCACGAGCCCTGAACAGGGCCACGAGTTCGAAGTCAGCACACCAAGATGGCGACAGGCGGGCGAGAGTACCACGGGGAAGACCCAGCTGATG